GGCGATGGCGACGGCGACGGCGACGGCGATGGCGACGGCGATGGCGACGGCGCTGGCGCTGGTGACGGCGACGGCGACGGCGACGGCGACGTCGACGACGCCAACGGCGACGGCCACGGCGACGGCGCCTGCGACGGCTACGGCGACGGCGACGGCGACGGCGACGGCGCCGGCGACTGCGACGGCGACGGCGATGGCGACGGCGACGGCAACGGCGACGACGACGACGACGACGACGACGGCGGACGGCGACGACGACGACGACGACGACGGCGGCGGCGACGGCGACGGCGACGGCGACGGCGACGGCAGCGGCGACGGCGACGGAAACGGCGACGACCACGAATCAGCCGCTCGCCACCGCCCGCTGTCAGCCGCACTTCCCGTTCGCCGCTCACCACCGGCGCCCGCGCCCCCTGCGCGCCGCCACCGCCGTCACCGCCTGCCACGGCTTGCTGCTTGAAAGCTCACCACCGTTCCCCGCTCGCCACCGCCGACCACCAGCGCCGCCGTCCCCGCACGCGCGCCGCCCGCCACCGCTGCCGCTCCCTTGCTCGCCACCAACGCCGCTCGCCGCCCGCCACTGCCTGCTGGTTGCCGCCTGCCACCACTCGCAGCTCGCCACTTCCGCCCGCTACAGCTGGCGGCCTCCGCTGCGAGCTGGCGCCGCTCGCGCACGGGGGCCTGTGCCGATCAGCACCGAGATCGGGAGCATCGTCGCGCTGGCGCGTGCGGAGGTCGAAACGCCCCCCAGCGCGGAGGCCAGGATCACATTTGGCGGCCTCAAGTCGTGGTTGGGCAACCGGGCGCACATCGAGAAAGCGCATGCCACCGCGCGCCAGCCGAGCTTCGCGGCTCGCGCCAAGGAGAAGTCAAAGTCCCGCCCGAAGCTCATCCACGCGACTATGATGCCGAAGAAGCGGGCGCTTGCGCGGGCGAGCCGCAAAGGCTGCGAGTCGTCGGCCCCCAGCGATGCGACACAGCACCTGAAAACCAAGTGGGCGGGCATCTGGATTAGAGAAGATTGCAGCGGCACCACGGAGACCCCATGCACCAAGCTGGAGGCGGACTTGGCCAGAGGCTCGCGGCAGGTCGACACCGCCATCGCGCAGCCCCCGACGGCCCAGGGCGTCCAGGACCATTCCATGGCGAACGGGGCTGGGGCCTGATGATTCGCTCCACCTACGGCGCTGGGGCTTGCTTTCCGACCGGACGCCGGGCGCGCCGGGCTCGCCCCTCACGCAGTGGAGGCCGCGCCGTTGATCAAAGGGTGGAAAGGTTACACAGGCAGCAATGGATAGCGCCGGGCAAAGGCAAGGCCACCGCGGACTTGGCGAACAGGGCCCCGGCGCACGGCAAATGAAAGGACGACGCGCGCCCCCACGTCTTCGCACTCGTGGAAATCGAGCAGTGCTTGGACGAGGTCAAGCAACCCTCGCTTCTCGCGGCGGCCCATGCTTCTCGCGGCGGCCCGCTCTACATCATCAGGCGCGCCCCCGTGGCGCACCAGGCCCAGCGGGGGCTCGCTTGGTCAAGCGCGCGCCCCTCGGGCGCGCGCCCTGCTCGAGGGGCCCTTCCAGGCTGCGTTTTCACGATGAGGCCAAACTTGCAAGACGCGTCGCGGGCAGCGGACCTCTTGACGGACCTCGCAGTCACGCCCAAGGACCAGCTGCCCCCCCCCACCCCCCGGCGGCGGTCAAAGCGACCATCGCGGCCTCGAACCCTGCGGCGGGCAAGGCAGCGGCAGCGCGCCTCGCGAGGTTCGGCCCCGGGCACGCATCGGGCCTGAACAGACTCGGAATGGAGGTGCGCGCGGGCGCCTCGGGCGCGTCAGGTAGCTGCGCACGCCGGGCGCAGGCCTAGGCAGGATTGCGAAGGGGGCGCTGCCGCCGGCAATGGACCACGGGCTCGGCGCGATTGGCGTCGGCGGCGCAGCGACGCAGAACGCGACGGCGGAGGCCCGAGGCAAGCCACTCCCAGTTGCTTTCAAGTGGCTCGCTTGCCAGATCGACCGCGATTTCCACGATGCACAGGTGGCCGCGCGCGCAGGGCCAATCCGCGGGCGGGCCTGCCTCACCGTGGAAGGCGCGATCGGCGCAGCAGAAAGCATTCCGCGCCGCCATTCACCCTTGGCGGTCCGTCCCTGGGCTGGCAGGAAGAGCTATTAAGGTTGGCAGAGCGATCGGATGGATCTCATCAGCAGCGACGCCATGGCGCACCTGGTCTGGAGAAGTGTTGCGACTCGACCTAGCCGTGGTCAAAGTCTTACTACGGCGGGACGCGCTCGCCGCGCGCTGGGCATCGCGGGCCAAGGGGGTCGGCCCAGCTCCCAAGGCCCACGCCAACCTCCTAGAAAGCCTGGGGGCCACTGGATGGAGCCCATCGACGAGCTCATCAGGCCCAGGCCGAGTCGCGCGAAGTGGAGGCTGACGGCAACATCCAGGGTGGCCTTCCGTCCGTTGGTTATTGGGGCGCGCTGGTCGCAGCGCCGTTTCCAAAGAAACGGCTATGCTTCGAGTGGCAGATGCAGGGAGTACGCAGGCAACGGCGCACTAGATCATCGGCACTGGGGATGCAGCAGCACGGACATGGCCCACGAGATCTCGGTGGATGGGCCCCACTTGCAGGAGGCCAGGCTAACGCCATCGGTCGGCCCTTTCTGGACAAGGGCCGTGCTGTCCAGGAGGCTGCTGCCCAGCCCGGGCAGGAGGGGCGACCCCGGCCTGTGGCGCTGCGGCATGGGCGACGTCAACGAGATCATGACTGGCGCGGCCTACTGCGACAGCAGCTGCTACCGCAAGTGCTACTGGCCAGAAGCGACCAGAGCTAGCCGGGGTTTCGCCATTCTCCGGCACGGCCAGGCCGTGGCCGGCCACTGCGGCGCACTACCAGAACGAGCGGAATAGCGGGCGGCCCCGCGGGTGCTGCAGGTCGCAGCCCCGCCAGTGGTGCCCCGCACCGACCACCTCCCCCCGGCGCTGGGCCTCGAGGAGGTCTGAATCGCGACGCGTGGCTTAGGCATCTGAGCCAAGATCGAGGACCTCGGCGGCATGGCGCCCGCGCGCTTCCAGCACGCGGAGGGCCACGCGGCGGCGGGCACCCACGAGCACGACAACGACCTCGCGGACACCACGGCCAACCTCGGCACCAAGCTGCACGCCGCCACTGTCGCCGCGAACCGCACTGCCCAGGAGCTGGCCAGGAAGGCCCGGCAGGTCGCATGCCACGATGCCGACGCCAGCGCGGCCACGGCGCACGGATGGCCGACATGCTGGAGGCGCCAGACGGCAGGCGCAGGGGCGAGCGAGGCCGCCCCGAGCAGCCCAGGTCGCAGTCGCACCGCAGGCACTCCTTCCGCGTCGGCAAGCCACGGAGGCGCGCGCGGCGCCGGGCGACTGCGCCGTCTCACAACGGGCGCAGGAAGCTCGAGAAACGGCGGTGCATGGCAAGGGGCTCGCACGAGAAGCGCGCGCGGGGCCAAGGCAAGGGCGCCCAGCCCTTGGAATTCCAACCCAGCACGGGCGCCAGCGGCAAGCGGGGGGGCCGACTGCGGCGACGCCATCAGGCCGCTCATGCGCCACAACGCGACCGACGCCGAGGCGCAGCAGGCCGCTGACGCCACCAGGCCTTGCATCAAGCGCACCATCTAGGACGACCGCAACGAGAAGGACTCTGAGGACTACAAGAAGACCCGCTTCGCCGACCCCCGGCCAGCGACGAACACCGCGCCGAGGGCGATCGCGACGCTGACCGCGCTGGGGGCGCGCGCTGCTGCTGTCGGCGGCGAGTCGCACCACGCGGGCGAGGACGAGGCGGGAACTCCACGACCGTCGACGGCGCGCTCTTCTGCGGGCCGTCGCGGGAGCAGGCACGTGATCAAGGAGACCGACCACATGGGCGAGTCGGGCAAGCGCGCTGTCCCGCCGCCGTCCAAGGCGCCGAGGTTGGAGGCCCGGCCGAGAGCGCCGCCGGCCAAATTTGCCCGTGGAGCAGCAATCAGCCAGGCGGATCAGGTGACGCCGAGAGAGCTGCCACCCACGGATCCCGCTGCCACGGCGCCCCCAGCAGCTGCACGGGGGCGCAGGCTGTTCGTGGGAGGCGGCATGGTCGGATGCATCGGCTGCGGCGTGCACGGCGCGAGCTCGCGCTGCGGCCCCATGGCAGCATGTCGGCCTGAGGAGAGCACCAGCGACAGCAAGCGCAGGAGGAGGCTCATCTTCGCTGAGGGTCGCCACCCTCGCCACCCAGCGGGGGAGGCCCTAGTGGACGTACCAAGGCCGCTGCGCGTAGGCGGCCCTGAGACCGCCTGGTTGCAGCTCGCGTGCTGCGTTTGGTGCAGAGGCCGTTACCTTTTCCACGCCTCTCCACTTTTGCCACCTGCTCTTCTGGCCGCAGCGCGCCTCGCCTCCTGCCGCCTGGCGCGTGCGCGGCCCATTTCCAGTGCCAGCAAGAGGGGTATCGCCAGCCTGCCGTTTTCGATAGGCCGGGCGCCCCTCATGGGCGCGTGGCCCGCCCGCTGTGGGCACGCTCTCGCGCGCTGTGCCCACGTCGGGATGCCAGCGCCCGCCGCCTCGACGTTCATTGTGTGCCCGAGGGCGAAGTACAATGTGTAATTCCTTGGTTTCCGCCTTTCCGTCTGACCCATGTTTTTTGAGCGTTGTGCCGTACAGGTTTTGCCTTGTTTGGGGCCAGGTAAGCTTGCATGGCGGCGGTGCGTGGCGGGCGGGGGTGGTAACGGGGGGGCTCTCTCGCGTTCCTTGCCTCAGTCGGCCTCGTGACGTCATGTGCTGCACGGCCCCGATCGCCATCATCGCCGTCGTCATCATCGCCAGCAGCAGCACCAGCAGCAGCTGCGGCAAGTGGAGCTCAAGGCCTAGACCCCCGCGTCGCAGACGGGCGGGGGGAACCAGGGAGCGCGCGGGGCGGGCCTGCTGCCTGGCGTCCGCCGGGCTACTCCAGGGCCCGCGGGTGACCCCCCCCCGCTACCCGAAGCGGCGGCGATGCAGAAGTGGCGCGCGCTGTGGTCCGAGGGCGGCGCGCCCCGGCTGTTGTGCCAGCTGTGCACGCCGACGGTGTGCCCGAGCTGCCAGGCGGGCGCGCCGTGCCCGGGCGGCGCGCACGCGGAGAGGCCCGCGGAGCTCTGCTTTTGAGCCGGGGGCCCCTTGCAAACGGGGGCCAGCCAGGGCGCCAGATCCTGCGGGGTGCTGCAGGGCCAGGGTCGCACGGACCCGGGTGTCAGGGGAGCCTGCAGGAGCCTTTGCGTGGGCCCGGGCCAGCGTGCAGCAGCCTGCAGGGTCCTGCGGGAGCCTTCGCGCTGGCCCAGGCCTGGTCGCAGGATCTCGCAGGAGTCTGCAAGAGGCCTGACCGACCTGGGTCCGGATATTAACCCGGGCCAGAAGAGATCCCCTCGAGAGGCCGGTGCGCCTCCGGGACGGCGCCGCGCGGCCGCCGGCGGGCACGGAGGTCATTTTCCCCGAGAACATGGCGAGCGTTAAGTCGGGCGTGTCCCTCTACAGGAGGAATGTTCAAACAAAGTTGATTCGAAAAAATAGTTTTTGTGTTATATACATATACATAAAGTCTGGGGACCATTTTTCGACTAGTTGTGCCCATGATCGAGCATTGGTTCACCACTGTTATCATGTTGCGTCCCAACTATCCGCCCGAATGGGGGACACGCCCGACCCCCAAGGCGAGCGCCGGCTTCGCCCGGCTCGAGGCGATCAACTACCCCCCGGGCGCGCTGGGGGCGGGCGCCGCGGGGCCCGTGAGCATCGGGCACCTCGTGGCCTTCTCGCGGGAGCTGGAGGCAAGGCTGCAGCACGGGGGCGCGCTGGGGGTGGTCTGCTCGCGGGGGGCGTGCGCCAACGTCCTGCTTTTGCTGGGCGCCCACCTGGTGCTCGCGCGCGGGCTCTCCGCCGAGGATCGACGGAGGCAAAGGCTCAGTATCGTGTAACCGATCCCCATCCCCATGCTCATCCCCTTTCCCCGTCGAGACCCCCACCAAATTACACCCCCAGTTTGGGAGACACCCCTCGAAACCCGATCGGAACGGCCTATATCTCCATCTAGGGGGGTAAATCGGCCACACGCCGCTGGGGATGGGGATCGGTTAAACGATACTCAAAGACTGCACATCAGCACATGCTTTCGAAGGTCCGCGCGGATGCCTCGGATCTGCGCTGGGACCCCCCGGCGGCGCCGCCACTGCCGCGCTCCGCACGCCACGGGGTGGGGGTCCGGCGTCAGCGGACCTCCGGAAGTACCGTCGAGCATCTGAGGAAGAAACCTCCTCCCGAAAAGTTGGGCCGGCGCTTCTGCAAGCAATTGCCGGAGAAAGCTGGCCGAGCTCCCTGAGCACATTCGTCCCCATCCAGCGTTCACAGCAGAAACTGGCCCAGGCTTGCTTGAAGAAGCTCAGGAGGGGAAAAAACACATAGACACATAGACACAATTAATCGTCGACTCCCAGGGAACTATGGGAAACTATGGGAAGTGGGAGGGAAGACGAAAACCCCCCAAAAAATAGGAAATATGGGGAATCCTGGGATGTGTGTGTGTGTGTGTGTGTGTGTGTGTGTGTGTGTGTGTGTGTGTGTGTGTGTGTGTGTGTGTGTGTGTGTGTGTGTGTGTGTGTGTGTGTGTGTGTGTGTGTGTGTGTGTGTGTGTGTGTCCCAGGGCCCCTATAGAAGATGCTGGGACGCTGGCCCAGATTTCTTACATGATCTTCGGCCGTATACACTCATGCCCGTTTTTCTATATCGTTTCACCGACCCCCATCCCCATGCTCATCCCCTTCGAGACCCCCACCACATCACCCCCCAGTTGGGGATACGCCCCTCGAAACCCGAGGGGGACGGCCTGTACCCCCATCTGGGGGTGTAAATCGGCCAGTGGGGCCCAGTCCACGCCGCTGGGGATGGGGATCGGTCAAACGACGAGGAGCGAGGAGGGGGAGGGGGAGGGAGGAGGGAGGAGGGAGGAGGAGGAGGAGGAGGAGGAGGAGGAGGAGGAGGAGGTGAAACGGTGAAACGATGCTCACTATCTTTCCCTCCCCGAGGAGGCCCTCGCCCAGTTGCCGAGGACCCCCGCCGAGCAGCAGCGGTTCCCGGCGCCGTGGGCGCGAGAGGCGCTGTGGCACGCGCACTCGCTGACGGTCCGGGACTGCCTCGTCGGGCTGCAGACGGCCGTAGGCAGCGGCTGGCTCGACTACGGGGGCTTCAGCAGCGACGAGTGGCTCAAGCTCCTGAAGTCCTACGACGCCAGCTTCACCTTCAGCCTCCCCCTCAAGACCTCCAGCGGCGAGCCGAGGCTCGGAGGGCAACAAGTTGTGCGGGCATGATTGCTCCGCGCCCCGCGCGGAGAAATCTTGGATCGGCGCTGGCGGCGCCTCTGGCGCCGCCCCTGGCGCGCTCCGCGCGCCAGGGAGATGGTCCAGCGTCGATCCAAGAAATCCGCGCGGACCTCCGCGAGAATCCTCCATACCCTCAGAGGCGGCTCACCTTCTACGCCATGGCCGACCCCGTCACCACGGTGGCGGACCCGGGCGTGAGGCCCTCGCCCCCCGAGGACGGCTTCGTGTCGGACTACGACAAGCTGTCCAGGGGAGCCCTGCAGCGCCCGAGGGCCGACAGCCAGGATCGGAAGAAGAGGTCGCCCGACGCCTACGCGAGCGCCCCCGCGAGGGATGCGAGCCAGCCAGGGGACACGGCCTCCAAGGACGACGGCCGCGAGGAGGACACGACGCCGGACAGGCGGTGGAGCATCGTTTCCGCCCGCAGCCAAGAGGATCCGCCCCCGCACGTGCCCAACGGCAAGATGGCCATGCCGGCCAGCATGCCGCTGGGCGGGGTGTTTCGCCAGAGCCGCAAGCCCGGCGCCGGCGACTGCGGCGGCGAAGACGCCCACGCGAAGTCGGCTCGGGGCAAGGCCATGGCGGCCTCTGTCGCGCTGGGCGACTTCAGCCCAGGCGCCAGGACCGACTCGAAGGATCCCCGGGCCGCCGCACCCGCGACGCCCAGCGCCAACGGCGGGGTCACGTGGCTCGAGATGGTGCGCGTGCGGCGCTGGGGCCAGGAGCAGCACGGCAAGCAGAGCTCGGTGCCCGTGGGCCTGGTGAAGGAGCAGGGCTTGACGACGCTCCCAGAGTTCGGCACCTGGCTGCGCTCCGTGGGGTGCCGGCGGCTGGTGCAGCTGAACCGACCGAACGAGAGAGTCCTGCCCTCGACTGGTTCGTACATGGACTATTTCGCCCAGTGGCAGCTGAAGCAGGAGGCCCTGCACTTCGACGACGGTTCAGTGCCGCCCGCCAAGGTCGTGCGTAGCCTCCGCTCCGTGGTGGAGGAGGTGATGGTCGACATGGACAACGACAGCCCGGGCAAGATGGCCGGCTGCAGCGCGATCGTGGTCCACTGTGCCGCCGGCCTTGGCCGGACGGGCACGTTGTTGGGCGTGCTGGCCATGGAGATGGTGGGAATCCCTGGCGGCGCGTGGATGGGTTGGGTCAGGATGTGCCGCCCCGGCTCGGTGCAAACGCTGGCTCAGGTCAGTATCGTTTAATCGATCCCCATCCCCATCCCCATTCCCTTCGAGACCCCCACCAAATTACCAACCCAGTTGGGGATACAACCCGAAGGGAACGACCCATATCCCCATCTAGGGGGGTAAACCGGCCAGTGGGGCCCAGGCCACGCCGCTTCCCTTCAGGCTATGGGTGATATAGGTCGTTCCCTTCGGGTTTCGAGGGGTGTATCCCCAACTGGGGTGGTAATTTGGTGGGGGTCTCGAAGGGTAAAGGGGATGGAGATGGGGATCGGTGAAACGATGCTCGTCAGGAGAAGTTCCTGAAGACCTACCGGCCTGCGAGGAGGGCTCCGGGCAGGGCAGGAGCCCTGAGCCGCCTGCTGCGCAGCCTCCGCTGCGCGGGTGCGGCGGACGCCTGATGCCCTGGCGGAGCCCAGTCGGTGGAGGGCACCAGGCAGGCATTGTCTCGGGCCGGACGAAAGGGGGGGATTGGGACAGGGGGGGAGTACGAGATTGGCTGCATGCAGCCGGTTTCGGCCCCACCGAGGGGCCCATTCCTCGATACATAGTCGCCTCCGGCGCCGGGAGGCGCCGGGGAAATCAGCTACGTGAGCTGATTCTCAACCCCCCCCTTTGCTATTCCCCCCCCTTTCGCCCGACCCGATTGTCGGGGAAACGCAAGACTCGAGTAGGCTGGAGTTCGGGTTCGCCGACTCTTTTTGTTGACGAGCGCGTTCTGGGTTTTGACGGTCCCGTGTTCGTGGGATGTCTGCAGCGGGAGCCCGCGTCGAATTTCAGATTGGGTCTCGTCATTTTCATGATGGCCCCCGTCATGCCAAACCGAGTCCCCCGTACCCGAGTCTTACGTCTCTCCGATCTTGGGAGACGCTTGCTTGTTCCGGCTGCTTACACCCCAGACGCCGAAGACCGAAAGGACGGCGGAATTGGGGGTGGCGATGGCCGTCGGAGCGATGGCACTGCGGATCGGAATGCCCGGCTCACGTCCGATCTTCCCGTCCCTTCGGACTGCTCTCTGGGTGGAGCCTGGAGGTGTCGTTCATGTCCTTGGGCAGCATCTGAGTTTTAATTCACGTAGGGGGTTGCAAGCAGTGCGGACTGGAGCGCAGCGCCCACGTCCGATCCTCCTCTATCCGCGGACTTCTTCTCTTGGGGTTGAGCCTTGAGAGGTGTCGCGGTGTCGTGCCCTCGGTACGTAGCTTCTCTGTCGAGCGGTCTGCTTGAGCTGTTGCTTCGGGACCCCCCTGGACGAGGGAGGCAGAGGAAATGCCGAAGGGGGGGAGTAGACAGGTGGGTCCCAGATAATGGCACCTCACCCCGAGCACTGCGTGCTGGTGTCGCGTTTCGTTACAGCGACGCGCGCGCACACGCGCCGAGGTGGGCCACCATCCACAGAGTGCAGCCATACATCACCGTGCCTGGCAAGGGCCATCCTGTGCGGGTGCGTGATTAGGTGGCTACAAAAACGGAAAGTGGTTCACGTGCAATTCAAGTACTCGTGCGCGGATTAAGACAGAAACGCGTAAAGTAGGAAATTCATTGTTGGTATGTGTAACGATATGGTTACCTTGCGATCTCAGAAATGAAACGAAGCAATCACGAATCATGCGATGATGATCAGATGATGGTCTATGTCCCAGATGGGCTGAAACGCAGAGAGGACTTGTTAGATTCCATGCGTGGTGGCTTGCAAGTAAATATGTTTCGTGGCGATCTCACACATCTGTATGCCTTTTGTGGCGGCATTACATATTAAGAACCTGTCGTGTTGGATTGCACATAGATTTCTCTTGTGACGGCCTACAAACGGATTCCCCAGTGACGGCGTTACACACATCCATTTATATACACACCATATTTTTGTTGTGACCTACACATACATGTTTCAACCTGGTGGCGCTGCATATTGATTTCTTGGCTTGCGGATTCCGAGCTCATCTTCTTTGTGGCGGATTACAGGATTTTTCTTCTTGCGACAGCCCACAGATCGAAGTTGTCTGTGGTGGCCTACATATAGACTGCTCTTGATGACGGCGTCACACATCGATTACTATAGCGGCGGATGGCTAATTGATTATGTTTGCGGCGGGCTGTAATCTGATTCCGTTTCTGGCTGCCTCAAAATATTCTTCTGAGACGGCCTTAATGAAATAATGTTATCATATTAATATGTGTATATCGAACACTATCTATATATGTAGATATGACAACAACAAACAAAAAAAGGTCCGCGGTGTCTCATGTAGGTTCCTTCTGGTGGAGGCGTTGCACCGTGGTTCTGCGTGCGGCGAATTGTACATTGGTTTGTTTGTGGCGGCGTGCAAAATTGTGGATCTCCTGCGTGGCGAATAGACAAGACGGTTCCTGTTCATTTGCGATTGCAGTATTTGCCAGCCAATGTTTCTAACATGTTTCTGGTGGTCCGCAAATGAATACCAGTTGTGGTGGCTTTGAATGTTGGTTCCTCTTTTTGCAGATTGCACATTCCCGAATGGCAGGTTTCAATATGAGTCCCTCTCGTTGCTGGTTACAGATGGTGACGCCGTATTCCAGCCAATGTAAGACGTGCACTACGGACGGTGCGCAGCGTCAGTGTAACATGTGTAGTGTTGTGCTCACGAATTGAGCAGTGCGAACTGCACTGTCCCTCCTCCCTTCCTGCTCCTTCTTCCTTCGCCTTTTATGTCGCCCTCCTCGCGGATTACACACTGATCCCTATTTTCGCTGGCGAATCACAAACTGATTCCCTCTGGTGGCCGCGCACGTTGGTTTATTGTGTGGTGGGTTACAGGAGGATCCCGTCTGTGGGGGGGTCCATGTTTTCTGTTGTGGGGGATCGCAAATTGATTACATTTGTTGCCGGCTACCAAGCGGTTCATTCTGTAGTGGATTACAATTTGATTCCGTTCGTGGTGGGTTGTTGTTTGATTTTTGCGTGGCGCCCGTACACGTTTCTGTTGTAATAGATTGCAAGTTGCGTGCAATTGTAACAATACGACACAGCCCAGATGCTGCAAGTTTACACATTGATTCTCTGTTGTGGGTTACAAAAACATTATTTTCGTATTAGGTTACACACAAACGCATTGTTTGGCGGGTTACCTTTTGATATTTTGTGTGGCGGATTGCTTTGGGATTTATTTGAGCGGCCCGTAGCAATGGATTGTTCTTGTGGTGGCCTTACAAAAAGGTCTCTTGGTGTGGCCCCTTTAGTAGCAAACGAAGGGTCAGTAGGAACCCCCAACAACAGTATATGTATGTGTATACATATACTGCTGGCATTCCCCAATTCCTGGCTGGCAAGATTATGTTTACAAAATATTTACCAATCGTGCATCCAGACTCCAGAAGGGTTGCGTGTGCATCAGATTAAGGGCCCGATGAATTGTAAGATGTTGTACTTCAGAGGACCTGGGTTATCAGGAATATTTGAACGTGTATTGATCTTATATTGCTAAGGCCTTACGGCCGGTGCCGCCGACCCTGAAGACGACGACGACGAATACGAGGAGGAGGAGGAGGAGGAGGAGAGGGGTTAAGGTGGAAAGGAGCAGGAAAAGGCCATGGATATGTTCCCCATGTGGGCCGAGGGAGTCGTAGCAGAGACAGACCGGGAGCCTTGTGGCCTGCAGCCCTTCCCGCCACCGTGCTGGGGTTGTGGTTGAAAGGTCTCTTGGATGGTTTCGGGCCTGTTGGGGCCTCTGTTGGGCCTCTTGGGGGTCTCTTGGGGACCTCTTCGGGCCCCTTGAGGGGCTCTTGGGGCCTTCTGGGGGCTTTTTGGGCGGGAAGCTCGAAATGTCGGTTCGCGGTCCTGTTCTTGGGCCTGCTTGGGGCCCTCTTGGGGCATTATTGGGCTGTCTTGAGGTTCTCTTGGGCCGTCTTGGGGCCCTCTTGGGCTGTCTCGGGGCCTTCTTGGGGGCCTCTTGGGCAGTCTTGGGCGGTCTTGAGGGCCTCTGAGGCCCAAAAAGGCGAGAAAGCCAAAAACAGTGAAAAACGAATGAAAGCCGTGAAGGCGTCTTGGACACATCGTTCGGCGATTCAGGGCATTCTTGGACCTTTTTTGTGGCCTCTTTGGTGCTTTTTGGGGCTCCCGGACGCCCAGGGGCGGATGCGTATCTGACCCCCCCTTCCCCCGGGACCCCCCCCCCTCGGCGGGGGAGGGATCAAAGCGAAGGGGCTTCCCTTCGACTTAAGTACGACGTTGCTGCGGTTTTCTTTCGTTGACAGGCTTGAAGAGGAGGGTGCAGGGAAAGGGGACGACAGAGACGCAGGGAGGGAGGACAACGGATGCGTCGACTGGGCGCACGCCGACGGGGGGTCCACACGCCGACAGGGTCGGCGGATTTGTCCTACTCCGCAACACTGAAAAACAGGGTGGCGTGCAATGTTCCAGGTTTCGAACGGCTTCAACTTTTTTGAAGCGCTACAAAGGGAATCCTCTTGCAAGGTCGCCATAAAAAGAATCCGTTTGTAAGGCCGCCACGAGGAATCCGGTTGTAAGGCCGGCACAAAAGTAGTCTTTTTTTGCAAAGCGGCCACACCCAGGTATGAGCATTTGGCCCTGCCACTAAGGAAGGCAAACGCATAAGCATCACAGTGAAAATGCACAAGTTCATGAAGAGAGCCCGAGAAACAGAAAGGATCCACGTCGTCAAACAGTGCATACACCTTAGGCGATGCTTAAGAAAACTTGAAATTTCGGCCAGGGTCTCGATTATTCTTAATGTTTCAATGTAACTCCTAAGATTTTAAGGGAAAGTTTGGGTTTTTATTCAAGTTCTGAGACTATGAATTTCTTAACCCATGATTTCTTAAGCATTTCGCAGGGTGTACGCCTGAGAATCGGCCACGAACAAGAGCACCAAGTAACACCCACAGTGCCGCTTACTGGGCCATACCGGTGCACACGCCCTCCTCTCTCAGTCGATACCGGGAGGTCGCAGGCTGTCGCGTCTGCGTGCCGTGCCCCGACCTTTCTCGGGGAGGCCAGGCCACTGACTCGAGAGGCTTACGCCAGTCCGGCGACCCGCGGCAAAGAGGATTCGCGGTTTGCAGTTCAGAGGATTCCGCAGGGGAGGCTGCGGATCCATCGTGGAGCTGTTTTGGGGCGAACTGGAACCCTCCTGGACTCCATCTTGGGCACTTGGGCCCGTCTGGGGGCTCCCATGGAATCGTTTCAGGCCCAGCGAGGTGTTGTTGGGCTCTCTTCGGAAGCTCGTCGGGCCTTAGCGTTCATTGGGCGGTCCTGGGGCCGAGTTGGAGGGTATTTGAACTGTCTGGGGGGAGGGGGGCCGTCGTGGAGCGGTCTTGGGCCGTCTTGGGGCTGTCTTGGGGCCGTTCTGGAATCCAACTGGGAGCTTCTTGGGGACCCTCTTGGGGCCATCTGGGGGCCTCTTAGGCC